CAGAGGTGGAGAATGACGGAGAGAAAGCCTCGAAAACTCCAGAAAAAATCAAGGAATTACTAAAGGAGTTCCAAGACATTCTTCCTGACGATCTTCCGAACGAGCTACCGCCATACCGAACGCATCAACACGAGATCGTGGAGGAACCGGGTTCGAAGCCGACCTTCCGAGCACCATACCGGCTCAGCCCTACGGAGCTGACCGACATGAAGAAGCAGATCGAGTATCTCCTAGCCAAAGGACTCATCCGACCATCTACTTCGCCATACGGTGCCCCAGTACTCTTCACACCGAAACCGGACGGAAGCCTGCGCATGTGCATCGACTACCGAGCTCTTAACAAGCAGACCATCAAGAATAAATATCCGATACCGCGAATCGATGACCTGCTTGACCAGCTTCGGGGAGCTACGGTATTTTCCAAACTGGATCTGCGGTCCGGATACTGGCAGATACGGATGGCGGACAACTCTATCCACAAAACTGCTTTCCGAACTCGGTACGGATCGTACGAGTATTTGGTCATGCCGTTCGGACTCACCAACGCGCCGGCAACGTTCCAAGCCGAAATGAACCACATTCTACGACCACTTCTGGACGAATGCGTGGTGGTGTACCTGGACGACATACTCATCTACTCGCGCGACATGAAGCAGCACGTCGAACACCTGCGACGCGTCTTCGAAATTCTTCGACGGGAACGATTCTACGTCAAACTGTCCAAGAGCGAATTCGCCCTGGAGAAGGTCCAATTTCTAGGCCACATGGTGAGCGCTCAAGGAGTTCACGTCGACCCCAAGAAAATCGAAGCCGTACGTACGTGGAAGACACCCGAGAACGTGAAGGAGTTGCAGCAGTTCCTAGGCTTCGCTAATTACTACAACAGGTTCGTGCCACAATATGCGAAACTCGCGGCACCACTCACGAATCTGCTGAAGAAGAACACGCCCTACAAATGGGAGACGAAGCACCAGGAAGCCGTGGAGCAGCTGAAACAAGCACTAACGTCCGCACCGGTGCTCATCTTGCCAGATCCCGAACGCGACTACGTAATCGAAGCTGACGCCAGCGACCAGGCAGTGGGAGCAGTCTTAATGCAAGACCAGGGGAATGGACTGCAACCAATTGCCTACCTCAGCAAGAAACTGCACGGGGCAGAACTCAACTACCCGATACACGACAAAGAGGCTCTTGCTATCATCATCGCCTTCAAAGCGTGGAGATGCTATCTCGAAGGACGAAGAACGACCGTCTACACCGACCACTGCAGCCTGAAATATTTGAAGACACAACCCAACCTTTCCAGGCGGCAGGTCCGGTGGATCGACTTCCTCGAGACACACTTCCACTACGACATCGTGTACAAGCCCGGCCACAAGAACAAAGCAGACGCTCTCAGCCGGCCTGCACACGTTGCCGCGATTCAGGTCGAAGGGATGAATCCACTACTCAAGGGACTCTTCACCCACGGGTACGCCATCGACCCCGAAATTCCCTTGGCAGAAAAGCGACATCTGCTACAATGGGACAGTGACATCGCGTACCGGAAGGGATCCACAAAAATCTGGGTACCCAATTACCCTCCTTTGCGCCAGTTACTACTCGAAGAATACCACGACGTCCTGTACGCCGGACACTTCGGTAGCAACAAGACGCTCACCGGTATCGCCAAACACTACTACTGGCCCCATATGGCAGACGACGTCCAGAAATTCGTCACCTCGTGTGATACATGTCAGCGGATGAAGAGCAGCAAGCAGAAAAAGGCGGGACTACTGCAGCCTCTTCCTGTCCCAGAACAACCATGGCAAGTGGTTAGCCTAGACTTCATCACCGGGTTACCACCTACCTCCAGCGGTCATGACGCCATCCTTGTCGTCATTGACAAGTTCTCCAAAATGGGACACTTCATCCCGACACACACGACGGCACGCACCGAGGAGACAGCACAGCTCTTCGTTCGTCACATCATCTCACAGCATGGCATCCCAACTACACTCATCTCCGACCGAGACCCCAAGTTCACTAGCAAGTTCTGGAAGGAACTTATGTCTCTGCTCGGCACCAAACTCGCCATGTCATCCGCATACCATCCGCAGACAGACGGACAGACCGAGCGCCTCAACCAAATTGTTGAGCAACTCCTCCGAGCAGCCTGCAAGGACGACATCTCCAAATGGGACTTGCACCTGCCCGTACTCGAGTTTGCTTACAACAATGCCACACATGCCGCTACTGGACAGACGCCGTTCTTCCTCTGCTACGGACGCCACCCACTCACACCACAGAAACCGACAACACCAGCAACAGTCCAACCTGCACACGACTTCATCACAACCATGCATCAGCTTTGGGATCGGACCCATAAGCGCCTCCTTGACATTCAACAGCAACAGAAGCGCCAGGCCGATCGCCATCGCAACGACCACACCATTTCCGTGGGAGACCAGGTGCTCCTCGACACCCGCAACCTGGACATCAGCCATCTCCCATCTAAACTTCGACCTCGCTTCTGCGGGCCTTTTCTCGTTGAAGCACAGGTCACTCCTGTTACCTTCCGCTTACGCCTACCAGCTACCTGGAAGATTCACAACGCCTTCCATGTCCAACTTCTGAAGCCCTATCGAGATCCTAATACGATCTTCGTCGGACGCCAACCGCCGCCGCCGCCACCCGTCCTCGTCCAAAATGAACCCGAGTACGAGGTCGAGTCCGTGCTCGCACACCGCCGTCGTCGGAATGGCACCGTGGAGCTTCTTATCCGTTGGAAGGGTTATGATCCTTCTGAGGACAGCTGGGTCTCTGAGTCCGACATGGGTAACGCCCGTCGTCCTCTGCATGACTACCTTGTCAAGCAGGGTGTTACTTCTACCACCCAGCTTTGAGGGGGGGAAGTGTGAGAGTACGACTCCGTTACACCACTTGGCCTTTTCCATATTTCATCTTCATTTCATTCCTCTTTTTATCTCATCGCCTTTTGCCTCATATTCCCCATTTTCCATTATCCTTTGGTTTCTTCCTTTATTATTATTATATCACCGACCAGGCATGGAATGTTCTAGACACGCTATCTAGCGTAATCCTGCCGTAATCTCTTAAAGCCAATAGCCTCGCGTGGCTATACGCAGGGTGATTCTATCTTCTAGAAGGGTCTATTCCCTTAGGATAAGATAAACCTGGTTACTTGATGTACTCTGGAAGTATAAAAGCGCCTTGTACTGATCGATAGTGCAACCTTTCCTCGACACATTCGATCCTGTGACACTGCCACTGGTGCCCCCCTCTCCACGTTCCCCCGGGACCCGGTGTCCGGCCTGTTCACTCTGGACACCGTGACCCCCCCGGCTGGAGCGCTCACCCAGGTTGCTGCTGCCTGCTCCTGTCGGTCCCTCACTCACCCGACTCTCCTTTGGCACCACCGCCTAGGTCACCCTGCACTCCCGCGTCTGCGTCACATGTCCCAGCATGGTCTTGTCCTTGGTCTCCCAGGTTCTCTCCCTGCGTTTCCCTCCTCCCCAGCCCCACCTTGCACGCCTTGTGTCGAGGGTCGGCTTCGCCGTGCCCCTCACTCCTCCTCGTTTCCCCCTACCGCCGCGCCGCTGCAGACCCTGCACCTGGACGTCTGGGGCCCCGCCCCCGTCCCTGGGCCGCGTCGAGAGCGCTACTTCCTTGTCCTTGTCGACGACTTCACTCGTTACACCACAGTCTTTCCCCTGGAGCGTAAGGCCGACGTGCCTGGCGCTCTCATCCCCTGGCTTGTCTCTGCCCGTGTCCACCGCGGTCTCCCTGTCTTGCGTCTTCACTCCGACCGTGGTGGCGAGTTTGCCTCAGGTGTCCTTGGTCGCTTTTGTCGTGCGGAGGGCATCACCCAGACGTTCACCCTACCGGACTCCCCACAGCAGAATGGTGTCGCTGAGCGACGCATCGGTTTGGTCATGGAGGTGGCTCGCACCTCCATGATCCATGCCGGTGCACCCCATTTTCTGTGGCCGTTCGCTGTGCGCTACGCTTCTCACCAGCTTAACTTGTGGCCGCACCCTCAGCAGCCGCAGGTTTCGCCGACCCGTCTTTGGACTGGGTCTCCTGGTGACGCGTCTGCGTTCCACGTCTGGGGCTGCCTTGCTCACGTCCGTGCCTCCGGCACAGACAAGCTCACTGCCCGCACCCTTCCCTGCGTCTTCCTCGGTTTTCCCCTTGACGCGTCCGACTGGCACTTTTACCACCCGCCGTCTCACCGCTTCTTTCACTCTCGTGACGTCACTTTTGACGAGTCCGTCTCCTACTACCGCCGCTTCCCCCACCGTGGTCCCCCGGTTACCCCCCCCCTGTTCCTGGTCACCCCTTCCCCGGTAGTCCCTGCCCCTCCTCCTCCTCCTCCCCGTCCCGCCCCCTCTGGTGTCTCCCACGTCACCCCCCTTCTGTCGGTGGACCCGGTTGAGGAGTCTTCTGACTCTGGTGGCCCTGCTGCGCAGTCCTCACCGGCCGGCCCTCCCCCGGCGTCCCCTCCCCAGTCCCCTCCTCCACCGCCTCTGCCGCCGCTGCAGCCGTCGTGGTCGCTGCCGCCGCCGCCGCCGCCGTCGGAGCACCCGTTCGCTGACTCTTGGGGTGCTCGTCCCGGTCGCCCTGGGGGTGGTCCCTCTGGGGGTGCTGGTGTGGAGTGTGCCGGTGGTAGCCGAGGAGCAGCTTGCGGCCCAGGTGTCGCCGTTGTGTCGCCGCAGCAGCAGTCCCCGCCGGTGTCAGCACTTCGCCTGCTCGGCCTTCCGTCCCCCGACCCTGCGTCTGTTCCTCTCCGACCGTCTCCTCCTCTTCCCGTCTACGGCCCTGTGTTCCCTCCGCCGGACTCGTCCCCGGCCCGTCTTCCCCCTCGTTCCCCTCCTGTGTCCCCTCCCCTGTCTCCTGACCCTTGTCTCAGAGGTTGGACTAGTAGTGCCGCCCTGAGCTGCTTGTTTAGGACATTCCCCTATGCAGTCTAGGGGGTGTGTCAAACATGTGTATTTGTTATGTTTGCATAGACTGTATAAGGTCACATCTTAGAGGGTACAATACTTAGGTATATCTATCTGTACTCTCCCTCTACCCAATCATTCACTCCTTACTTTGTTACACCATTCTCACGACAATCTAACATTCCTGACAGAGGTTGATGCCAATCGCCTGGTAGAGCAGGATGACGATATCCAGCTTCCTAGACAGCCATGGCCTGCTCTGCAGGAGCTTGGGCTTCCTTGAGATTGGTAATTTACACTGCAACAATTTGCTCTGTAGAATCACATTCTCAAATCCATACCATACATGGTACAGCTCCTACTTCCAGCCACATGACCTGTTTCTCCGCATACACAAGAGCTCCTTTCAGGGCTTGAAGGTGGTTTGCTGCCAGAGGTTGATGATATCCGTGGCCTGGTTGAGCAGGATGATCACGCGCTTCCTCGACAGCCACGGCTTGCTCTCCAGCAGCTCGCGCAGCTCCTCCCACGCGTCCTTGCGCGGCCAAAACATGTACGAGCTGACGGGAACAGTGCCCTGCCCGGGAATCATCTGGTCCACGGCAATCCCAATGTTCTTCTCTGGAGGGGGGCGGGTGAAAATGGGAAAGGACAATTCAGATTGTGAGAGCAGCAGGATATGCAAATTAAATAAGGAATTGAGACAGCGAAGATATGCATGTGCTCCACGGCAATCCCAATGTTCTTCGCTGTGAGGTGGAAAAAAGGCATACGGAAAGAACAGTCCTGAGGAATTCTTCTAGAGAAAGCGGCAATGGGTGCAACAGAAAAAGCCTGCAGGGCCAAGGCAATCTTTGGGTTCTTCCATGAGGGAAAACAGGGGTTTTGAATGAAATGGGATACGTTGCATTGAATGAAAAGGAAAAAAGCTGCAAGCAAACGTGAAGCGAGTCCTACTTAAACAGGGAACGGAAGGGAAAGGGGGCTTTGGGGGGGGGGGAGGGGGGGAGGAAGTTAGGGGAAAATGGAAGAGGGAACTGGCAGCCTAAAAAAGAGTGGGGTGAGGGAGGAGGCTCTGCAAGGAATGGCTGCGAGAGATGAGAAGAGATAGCTGAGAGCGCTGCGATCCGAGGTTGGAAGGACGATTTAGGCCTAAACGACAGCAGCTTTCTTAGCCAGCAGGCCAGATACTCAGCCACGATGCAGAGGCATTAGGGAGACCGCCCACCCACCACACATCGGCCGACCCCATGGATGCCTAATGGGGTCGGCCCACTGCTGGCTACGCTGACGCCAACGTCTATGCCTGTACCTACGCCTACGGCTGATAGGGATGCAGAGCGCAGGGTACCGATGGCCAATAACCATTGTGTACAAGCGTTCGAATCCAACCTGTCAACACATTTCACTACGAGAAAAGAGCTCAAGGGAACTTTCTCGTGACCAAGTAAGCCAACGTGAGCTTCGCCTCAACAGCGACTGACAGAGACCATAGCCCTTTCTAGTAGCCTGGACTACGGTTCTACACGTCCAGAAGGGCCGCTCCTTATATATCCTGCATTCACTTGCAACCTTCTGGAAACGCCGATAAGATCCGCGCGATTCAACCTGTGAGCCGACCATGTGCCGCCACAAATCCGCGATAAGTGGGCAATCCGCTAATCCATGTTGCTCTGGGGTTGCTCTCGAGTAGCGCGTTCTGGGGTTGTCCATGGCGCAAACATCACTCCAAACGAACTACTCGAGAGCAACCCCAGAGCAGTTACACGCCCGAGCCGTTACGTGCTAAGAAACGTCAGCAACTCGCGGGTCTCCGTAATCCGTGAGGCAATGCGCTCCGATTACGTGTGCAAGGCCGGCGTACGCAGCAAGACCGTCAGGATGAGGAAATCGACTCCACCGTGGATAATCACCATAGCTGCGACGCATAAGACGATATTTTAAGCGCCTCAAGCAAACGATTACTGAAGGGCCTCAGAAAATTGGCTACGGCGTGGAAGAAACCACCGCTGCTACGAATTACGTTAGCTAAACCCGGAACCCTTGTAATGGCATTGGCTTCCTCCTGGCGTTTCGTCCGCTTTTGAGAGAATACCCACAGATTGCCTTGGTCTAAAAGCCCCGAGGCGTGAAATGCGAGACGCACCGAGCCAGACGAATTTAAGGAGCAGTCGTTGGTTGCCCTCCTTTACCGACAGCACCTTGACCTTCTTAGGCTCCTCCGCCGCCGCCTCGCTCCCCGCCTCCGCCACCGCCGCGCGCGGAGCGACCACGCGCTCCACCCGCGCGGGGAATGCGCGCACGGCGGGGAGGGCTTGCGCGGAGAAGGACGGCGTGCGGAGAGAAACGCGCGCAGAGCAGGCTGCAGCGCGAGCGGCGGGCGCGGCTGTGTAGGCTGCGGGGAAAGCTACTTGGGATGTAACGGCAGCCATGGCTGTTCGTCTTTTTCTGAAAAATCACAGGATAAACAGACGCGCCGCGTAGGGTTAGGGAGAAACAACCAGTGGGTCGGAAGAGTCGTTTCTCTTCGACTTGAGTGTGAGGGCTGGGAGGAGGTAAGAAAGAACTGTAAGTGCAGTGGGCCAGTCAGACCACGAAGGGAAACTGCAGAAATTCAGGGACGGGTAATAAATGGGTGAATGGGGTTGCAGAGGATTGCAGAGCGGTTGAGCTAGTTGAAAATGGTTGAAGCTGAAAGAAATGGTTTTGGTTGGGATGGGGTACGATGAAGAGGTTTTGGTTTTGGTTGCAGGTATGCGGACGGAGAGGTGGGGGCAGAGAATGGCGGGAAATGCGGCGAGTATGGAAGGGCTGGGCGCAACATGTGACGTGTCAGCGGAGTGATGGGCGACGAGTCATCCGAAACTCCACTCTAGCTGCTGACGTGTTGGCCATCCAGCGGAGCTGCGAAGATCCGTGGTAGCTCCGAGGTTTCGTTCGGCCTCAAGTAACGGTATTTCGTTACGTCGAAGGTTAGATATCCCACAATATCTAGGCCTTCTGCTAATAATGCTAAATAGTTACCACCATAGTTACCTGATTGTTTAATAAAAGACATTATCGATTACGTGTCATAGTTTTACACAACAAACGGATTCCCCATAACGGTTCCTCGATGTTCATATCAGAAATGTCGTCAGAACCATTACCTAGGCCTTGGGACTGCTTTTGCCGCCAAATTCCTTCAACCTGACAACGAACATCCCGCTTCATCGTTTCCAACGTCTACTATACGGTAGTTCTGTATGCTATTCTTCAATAGTCGCTCCATCCCGCTTCCCTCCGCCCTGCGCCAAGCCCTGATTTTCTAGGACACGCGCATTCTAGAGGCGTCTCAGAAGTGGAGATTAATTCACCTGTTACCAGCCACTCCTCGGCCTCCAAGCCGCCGTTAATCTCGTCCGCCGGCCTCAGCGCGTACTATTTCCCTGCCTCGGTGTCTCGCGATGGCTCGCCAATGAAGGCATTTCACGTGGCTCCATCCGATTCGATGATAGACTGCAGTCGCCTCAGCTTGCACCGATCTCATGGCCGAGTCGCTGATCTCTCCCATTCGCCCAGCAGCCACATCTTGGCCACGTGGCTCTGCTGGATTTGCGGCAACCCACGGCTCATCAACCTCAGCCTCTATCCGTTTGCTTTCGCTTGATTCTCCGACGTCTCTAGGCTGTTCAAGATGCAACTTAATCTGCACGTTAAGTTGCAATCAGGCGGTTCAGCATACAACTAGTAGTCCCGCCTTCGGACCGCAATGCTCTCCGCAATGCTCTCCGCGCGCAGTTTTCGGCGCGGGCGGGATTCACTCACGCACACCACAATTGGAAGCGTCTAGAATACATCGTGTCGTGAGACAGACGTCTCTAAAGCCTCGTAATAGTGCCGTGAAAGGGTCATCTAGGAACGCTATAATCGCAGCAGCTGCAGGGCGTGCCACTCCACAGGGGACTTCTTCCCCTCGGAAAGGGCCCCTTTCCAACAGCACTAGTAGTGGCTCGGAAGGGTCATTTCGGAACGCTGTAGCAGCTGCCGCTACAGGGCGTGCCGCCACTCCACAGGGGTCTTCTTCCCCTAGGAAAGGGCCCCTTTCCAGTAGCACTAATAGTGGCGTGGAAGGGTCATTTAGGAGGAACGTTGTAGTGGCTGCCGCTGCAGGAGGTGCCACTCCACAGGGGCCTTCGTCCCGTAGGAACGGGTCCTTGCTTTATAGCACTAGTAGTGGCGTGGAAGGGTCATTTAGAAACGCTGTAGTGGCTGCAGCTGCAGGGCGTGCCGCCTCTCCACAGGGGCGTTCGTCCCGTAGGAACGGGTCCTTGCTTTATAGCACGAGTGGTAGTGGCGTGGAAGGGTCGTTTAGGAAGGCTATAGTGGCTGCCGCTGCAGGGCGTGCCACCACTCCACAGGGGCCTTCTTCCCCTCCCGACCCTCCTCCCGATCCGCCTCTTTTCTCGCTGTGGCCCAGACCTCCTGGCAGTGGTAAGATCCGAGCCTCTAGGCTTGGTTTAGGCCCTAATTCTCAGTGTTTGAGAGAGGCCAATCCATCAGGCTTGGCTGTTCTCCTTTTGTTTCCATCTCCAACCCTTCACCCGGCCGGCCCTTTCCTCCCCTTTCGAGTTTTCCTCCCCTCCCCTTTCGCCTTCCCTTCCCCTTTCGTTTCCCTCCCATCCTTGCCCTCCCATGCCCCTCCCCGGCGTGTCCCTGCAGATGAGGAGGCTAGCAATATCAGTGGTAACCCCAGTGACGATGATAACAGTGACGATGATAACAGTGACGATGAGAGCACCACCGATAACAGCAGGGGTGTCCTTTACCATGCCATCCGATCCTTGCCCTTCCCATGCCCCTCCCATGCAGATGTGGAGGCTAGGAGTAACAACGGTAACCCCAGTGACGATGATGGCAGCAGTGACAATGAGAGCACCATCAGCAGCAGCGGTGCCCTTAACCATGCCATTCCCCATGCCCCCCCCATGCAGACGTTGAGGATGGAAGTAGCAGTGGTAACCCCATTGACGATGATGACAGCAGCAGTGACGACGAGAGCACCATCGGCAGCAGCGGTGCTGCCGCCAGGGCGAAAGGCTTTGGAGCGACAGCAGCAGGAAAAGCACCAGGGAAGAAAGGCGGTGGCCGAAGGGGGGGAGGAAAACGGGCGAATGCCCCTCAGGCAATGCCTAAGGGGGCGGTGTCCAGAGCACAAGTCACGGATCCACGTAAAAGGGTTCCTCCTGAGTCCGTAACCAGGGTAGGCAGGGTAACCGGGGAGAAAGGGGAGGGGGAAGAGGTGAACATGATAGATGCGTTTTCAGACCTTAGTTATGATCAGCAGGTGGCGGCAGCTTGGTACTTGGGTCTGCCGATACCCACGAGGGCGGACGGGAGAAGGCCGAGCGATGCTGAGATGTTTCTCCGAGTGTTCGGCGGCAGTCTCAAGCTGACTGGGATCAGCATCGGCAAGAGGAAGGCGAGTGGCGGCGATGGTAGTGGTGGGAGTGATGGTGAGGAGGGGAGTGACGGCGAGAGGGGGAGAGGCGGAGAGAAGGGGAGAGACAGCGGGGAAGTCACGGTGCGGAGTGGGGAGCGAGAGTTTGTTCTGATGAGCGATAGGAATGAGCTTAGTGAGGCGGATTTGGCGGCTATTGAGGCGGATCTTGCGGCTTACGTTGACTTTGCAAGCAGTATCGATTTTGAGCCTGGCAGCAAGCAGGGTGACAGGGACAGGGGGGGGGACACCATCAGCAACAGCACCAGTGGAGTCAGTAGCAGTGGCAGCAGGAGCACCAGCAGCAGCAGCAGTAGCACCAGCAGTGGTGGCAAGGGATTGTTTGGGTTTGGGGGAGACGTGGCACGAGGATTATCCGACGCCGTTCAATGGTTCAAGTCTGTTACCGCTCCTGACCCCACAAGACCACTTGAAGCCACCACTGAACCGCCCCTCCCGTCCGATCCTACCAAGTTGCAAATCCCCATCGCTGATCCCCGCTCCCAGTCTGCTCCTGCCAAACCACCACTTGAAGCTACCCTGGTGACTTTTGAGTCGACTCAAAAGTCACCTCGGTCCCAGTCTGCTCCTGCCAAACCACCACTTGAAGCTACCCTGAAACCGCCCCTCCCATCTGACCCTAGGAAGGCACTTGAACGGACCACAGTTTCCCCTAGTTCGTCTTCCGACTGTATCCAACCGACGGAGGCTGCTGCTATCTCGTCGCCATTGCCACCTCCATCTGTGCCCCCCTTCCCATCGGACCCTAGCACACTTGAACGGACCGCAGTTTCCCCTAGTTCGTCTTCCAACCGTACCACTGAGAATTCAAAAAAATACCCGACGGAGGCTGCTGCTATCTCACCAACGGCGCCTCCGTCTGACCCCAGTGAGTCACTCGAACTGACAAGTGAATCCCCCCTCACGTCTGATCCTGGTTCATCTGGCCGCGTTACCCTGGTGAAGGGTCCTATTGACTCGCCAATACCACCTCCATCGGACCCCAGCGAGTCACTCGAACAGGCAAGGAAACCCCCCCTCACTCCTGGTCCTACGAGCCCGTTTGCAGCAGCAAGTGAGACGGCCTTACGATCAGAGCCTAGCACCTCACGTGGTGCCACCACAACCGGACCCCCCCTCATGCCTGGTGGCTCGACTGGCCCCTTGGGAGCTACAGGTGAGCCGCTCACACCATCCGGCCATAGCACCGCGCATGTTGCCACCACAACCGAACCCCTCCTCATGGCCTCACCAGCAGCAGCCACGGAAGCAGCAGCTTCATCGGTGGTAGCAGTGGCATCGGGAGAAGCAGCGGCAACGGAAGCAGCAGCAGCAACGGCGGCAACAGAAGCAGCAGCAGCAACGGCGGCAACAGAAGCAGCAGCAGCAATGGTGGCAATGAAAGCTGCAGCGGCAACGGCATTAGGAGCAGCAAGTGTATTAGAGGCAGCATCGGCTGGAAATCCGCGGATTGGAGAGGGGAAGGTGCAGGGAGGGGGGTCAAAAGCAGAGGGGAGGGTGGAAGGAGAGGGAAGGGGGAAAGAAGAGGAGCAAGGAGGTTTAGATATTCAATGGAAGGGGCCTTTTGATGTGACTGTAATGGAGGGTGTTGCAGAGGGGAAGGGGATAAGAGTGGTGGCCGAGGGAGGTGTGAGGGAGGGGGAGAGGAGGAGAGGGGTCGTGGAGGGAAAAGAGGAGAGGAATGGGGAGGAGGAGGAGAGAGAGGAGGGGGAAGAGAGAGGAGGAGGAGAGAGAGAGGAGGGGGAAGAGAGAGGAGGAGGAGAGGGAGAGGAGGGGGAAGAGAGAGAGGAGGGGGAAGAGGAGGAGAAAGACGAAGTGGGAGCAGAAGAGGGAGAGGAGGAAGGTGGGTTGGTGGCAACAGCAGATAGCAGTTCGAAGACTGCGGGTGCGCAAGAGAAGCGGAAGGAATGGTTGAGGGCGGAGAGGAAGGAGGCGAGAGAGGAGGAGAGAGAGGAAGAGGAGGAGGGAGAAGAGGAGGAAGAGGAGGCGGACGAGGAAGAAAGTGGGCCGTTGGCAGTAGCAGATGGCAGTCTGAAGGGGCGAGAGAAGCAGAGGGGGTCGAGCATCGAGTGGCTGAGGGCGGAGAGGTTGGAAGCGAGAGAGGAGGGGGGGGCGCAGGATGGAGAGGAGGAGGCGGAGGAGGAGGAGAGTGGGTTGGTGGCAGTGGCAGACGGCAGTTTGAAGCAGAGGCGCGGGTCGAGCAAGGAGTGGCTGAGGGCGGAGAGGAAGAGAGAGAGGCAGAGGGAGAGACGAGTGGTGCTGCTGGCGGCACAGCTGAAAGAGGAGCTGGAGAGACAAGGGCGGGAGATGCGGAGTGAGGTAAGGAAAGGGGGAGACGTGAGTGAGGAGGGATCTTCAACGAGTGGTGTAACCGAGAGGGAGGTAAAGGAGGTGGTTAGGATCCAGGAGCGGATGGAGGAGGAAGGCGAGGTGACGAGAGATTTGAGAGGAAGGCGCGGCGGAGGGACAGGCTTCAGGGAAGGGCTGCTGCTGGCAGCACGGAAAGACGGGGAGGATAGGGAGGTTGGGGAGGTTGGGGAGGTTGGGGAGGGTCGGGAGGGTGGGGAGGATTCGCCTACAGGTGCCAATGCAAAGGGCGAAAAAGGGGGGGCGGATGCTAAGGGAATGGGCGAGAAGGAAATGCAGGCCATTTCTAAGAGAAAAGGGCTTCTAGATGTGGAGGAGTTGAGAGCGGTGGATCTAGGTCAGGTGGCTCTGCTGCTGGGAGCGATTGAGGGGCTCAAGGAGGTTCAGGATCTGCCGAAGCTGATGAGCTGGCTTGGCGGCGTGTCGGAGGAGGGGGGTGGAGAGGTTGGCCCTGCTGGAGGGGGATTGGGCGGCGATGACGTGTCACTGGGCAGTGCTGAGGTGTCGCAGGTGCTGTATGAGCTGGCGATTGCGGAGGAGAGTGAGAAAGCTCTGGCGCTGCTGAGGTGGATGGAGGGGAGAAGGGAGAGGGAGTGGGGGGAGATGAGTGAGAAGGCACGAAGAAAGTTCCTAATGGCGAGAGAAAGGGAAGGAGTGGAAAGGGTGGGGAAGCAGAGAGAGGGGATGGGTGGGAGAAAGGTGAGTGGAGGAGAGGAGGGGGGATTGTTTGGGCCGACTGGCACTGCGTATGGTGCTGTTGTGACCATGCTGCTTAGGGTGGGACGGGTGGAGCAAGCTGGCGCCATGGCCATGGGGCAGCACAGTCGAAGCAGGAGCAGAAAGAGCAGCAAGAGCAGCAGGAGCAGCGGCTGCAACAGTCAGAGCAGCAGCACGAGACAGAGATCAACCAAGCAAGCTCCATCAGGCGTCCCACAAACCCCCCTCCACCACCTCCTCCTCCCATCCCACCCCCCCCTCCCATCCCCATACCACAATCCGTGTACTGCCAACTGATCGGCGCGCTAGTGGGCACGGACAAGGGCCTGAGAGCCCTCGACGCGTTCCTCAAGATGCGGAAGGGACAGGGCAAGGGGGAGCGGCCGTCCCTGGCGCTGTGCCACCTGGTGATGAAAGGGTGCCTCAAGGAGGGCGGGCGGGGGGGACTGGACGGGTGTGGAGTGATGGTGGACGAGATGACCAGGCTGGGCGGCAAGCTGAAGCCCACTGCGGTGAGTATTTGTTTTGAAAGAAGAAACATGGCATTTTATTAGGTTTGCTTGTTTTTCAGTTTTACAGTTCCGCTTTTAGGGCAAGGGAGTGCTGCGCTGAAAAGAGCAGGGCAAGGGGGAGCGGCCATCCGTGGCGCTGTGCCACCTGGTGATGAAGGGGAGCAACAAGGAGGGGGGGAGGGACGGGCGGCAGGGATGTGAAGTGATGGTGGATGAGATGACCTCGCTGGGCGACAAGCTGAAGCCCACTGCGGTGAGAAATGTCGAGGGTGGTTGTTTGTTTCCGCGTTCCAAAACCACTTGGTTCTCTGTAACTACGGTGGCAGGGGTGCCTTTTGAGTCGACTCAAAAGTCAACTCATTGTTTCCTTGTTCCAAAAGCTCTTGCTTCTCTGAACTACGGTGGGCGGCAGGGGTGTGAAGTGATGTTGGATGGATGGGATGGGATGGCCAAGCTGGGGTAGAACCTGAAGCCCACTGCGGAGCTCATTTTTAGGTTTTTTTTTTTTTTCCCCATTTTGATTGTTCTCCTTACTAGTCGAACCTTGAAGCCATGTCCTTGAAGCCCTGTCCTTGAAGCCCCGTCCTTGATGCCATCGCCCATGATTGGCAGCTGGCCTTGAGAACACCCACTTGGTGGTGGTTTTAGCCATACGTGGTAGCGGGCTGTAAAACACTGTTGTTTTAGAACAATTCTTGCTCAGAAAAACTCTCGAGAATTTGTAGGGAAAAATTTATGGTAACTAGTTTCGGCAGGTGGCTGCCTTCATCAGACCATGAGCCACCTCAAAATAGAGGGAGGCTATTTTTGAGCCACCTCAAAATAGGGGGGGGCTATTTTTGAGCCACCTCAAAATAGGGGGGGGCTATTTTTGAGCCACCTCAAAATAGGGGGGGGCTAGTTTTGAGGCGCCTCAAAAATAGGGAGAGGCTATTTTTGAGGCGCCTCAAAAATAGGGAGAGGCTATTTTTTAGGCACCTCAAAAATAGGGGGAGGCTATTTTTGAGGCGCCTCAAAAATAGGGGGAGGCTATTTTTGAGCCACCTCAAAATAGGGGGAGGCTATTTTTGAGCCACCTCAAAATAGGGGGAGGCTATTTTTTAGCCACCTCAAAATAGGGGGAGGCTATTTTTGAGCCACCTCAAAATAGGGGGAGGCTATTTTTGAGCCACCTCAAAATAGAGGGAGGCTATTTTTGAGCCACCTCAAAATAGGGGGGGGCTATTTTTGAGCCACCTCAAAATAGGGGGGGCTATTTTTGAGCCACCTCAAAATAGGGGGGGGCTAGTTTTGAGGCGCCTCAAAAATAGGGAGAGGCTATTTTTGAGGCGCCTCAAAAATAGGGAGAGGCTATTTTTTAGGCACCTCAAAAATAGGGGGAGGCTATTTTTGAGGCGCCTCAAAAATAGGGGGAGGCTATTTTTGAGCCACCTCAAAATAGGGGGAGGCTATTTTTGAGCCACCTCAAAATAGGGGGAGGCTATTTTTTAGCCACCTCAAAATAGGGGGAGGCTATTTTTGAGCCACCTCAAAATAGGGGGAGGCTATTTTTGAGCCACCTCAAAATAGGGGGAGGCTATTTTTGAGCCACCTCAAAATAGGGGGAGGCTATTTTTGAGCAACCTCAAAAATAGGGGGAGGCTATTTTTGAGCCACCTCAAAGATAGGGGGAGGCATGGATGCAACTGTTTTCAGAGGATTCTCAAAGGCTAAAATCTCTTCTCTCTTCCATCCTCCCGATCCCACAAACGGGCCGACCCCCTTTCAGCTGACCTTTTCCTTCCTGATCCGCGCACTGCTGCAAGAAGGGGACCTCAAGGGAGCCAAATACGTGATGCTGACCAGGATGCCTCATGCTTGCCTGCTCTGAACCCTCTCCCACCCACTGCAGCTGACCTTCTCCTTCCTCATCCGCGCACTGTTGCAAGATGGGGACCTCAAGAGAGCCACATACGTGATCTTGAAGAGGATGCAACGGCGGGGCCTGGTGCCGCGGCTGGAGGACGTGCATGGAGTCATCAAGGGGTGGCTAGGGACGGGAGGGGCGGCAGGGGTGACGGAAGCTATGGCGATTATGGATGCGATGCTGGGGATCACGGCGGATGGAAGAATAAAACTCAGTGCTTCTGTGATGGTGCAACCCTCTGAGGTGAGTCAAGAGGGGCCATGGGGGTGGCTGTGAGGCTATGGCGATTATGAATGCGATGCTGGGGTCACGGTGGAGGGGAGGAGAAACCCCCCTGCTCTTGTGATAGTCAAGCTCACTGAGGTGAGTCCAGCCCACTGAGGTGAGTCAAGCCCGCTGAGGTGAGTCAAGCCCGCTGAGGTGAGTCAAGCCCACTGAGGTGAGTCAAGCCCACTGAGGTGAGTCAAGCCCGCTGATGTGAGTCAAGCCCTCTGAGGTGAGTCAAGCCCACTGAGGTGAGTCAAGCCCGCTGAGGTGAGTCAAGCCCACTGAGGTGAGTCAAGCCCTCTGATGTGAGTCAAGCCCACTGAGGTGAGTCAAGCCCTCTGAGGTGAGTCAAGCCCGCTGAGGTGAGTCAAGCCCACTGAGGTGAGTCAAGCCCGCTGAGGTGAGTCAAGCCCACTGAGGTGAGTCAAGCCCTCTGAGGTGAGTCAAGCCCGCTGAGGTGAGTCAAGCCCACTGAGGTGAGTCAAGCCCTCTGAGGTGAGTCAAGCCCGCTGAGGTGAGTCAAGCCCACTGAGGTGAGTCAAGCCCGCTGAGGTGAGTCAAGCCCACTGAGGTGAGTCAAGCCCTCTGAGGTGAGTCAAGCCCACTGAGGTGAGTCAAGCCCTCTGAGGTGAGTCAAGCCCGCTGAGGTGAGTCAAGCCCACTGAGGTGAGTCAAGCCCTCTGATGTGAGTCAAGCCCTCTGAGGTGAGTCAAGCCCGCTGAGGTGAGTCAAGCCCGCTGAGGTGAGTCAAGCCCGCTGAGGTGAGTCAAGCCCTCTGAGGTGAGTCAAGCCCTCTGAGGTGAGTCAAGCCCTCTGAGGTGAGTCAAGCCCGCTGAGGTGAGTCAAGCCCGCTGAGGTGAGTCAAGCCCACTGAGGTGAGTCAAGCCCGCTGAGGTGAGTCAAGCCCACTGAGGTGAGTCAAGCCCTCTGAGGTGAGTCAAGCCCGCTGAGGTGAGTCAAGCCCACTGAGGTGAGTCAAGCCCGCTGAGGTGAGTCAAGCCCACTGAGGTGAGTCAAGCCCGCTGAGGTGAGTCAAGCCCACTGAGGTGAGTCAAGCCCTCTGATGTGAGTCAAGCCCACTGAGGTGAGTCAAGCCCTCTGATGTGAGTCAAGCCCTCTGAGGTGAGTCAAGCCCGCTGAGGTGAGTCAAGCCCGCTGAGGTGAGTCAAGCCCGCTGAGGTGAGTCAAGCCCTCTGAGGTGAGTCAAGCCCTCTGAGGTGAGTCAAGCCCTCTGAGGTGAGTCAAGCCCGCTGAGGTGAGTCAAGCCCACTGAGGTGAGTCAAGCCCGCTGAGGTGAGTCAAGCCCACTGAGGTGAGTCAAGCCCTCTGAGGTGAGTCAAGCCCGCTGAGGTGAGTCAAGCCCACTGAGGTGAGTCAAGCCCGCTGAGGTGAGTCAAGCCCACTGAGGTGAGTCAAGCCCTCTGAGGTGAGTCAAGCCCACTGAGGTGAGTCAAGCCCTCTGAGGTGAGTCAAGCCCGCTGAGGTGAGTCAAGCCCACTGAGGTGAGTCAAGCCCGCTGAGGTGAGTCAAGCCCACTGAGGTGAGTCAAGCCCGCTGAGGTGAGTCAAGCCCACTGAGGTGAGTCAAGCCCTCTGAGGTGAGTCAAGCCCACTGAGGTGAGTCAAGCCCTCTGAGGTGAGTCAAGCCCTCTGAGGTGAGTCAAGCCCTCTGAGGTGAGTCAAGCCCTCTGAGGTGAGTCAAGCCCGCTGAGGTGAGTCAAGCCCTCTGAGGTGAGTCAAGCCCTCTGAGGTGAGTCAAGCCCGCTGAGGTGAGTCAAGCCCGCTGAGGTGAGTCAAGCCCGCTGAGGTGAGTCAAGCCCGCTGAGGTGAGTCAAGCCCGCTGAGGTGAGTCAAGCCCGCTGAGGTGAGTCAAGCCCTCTGAGGTGAGTCAAGCCCGCTGAGGTGAGTCAAGCCCACTGAGGTGAGTCAAGCCCTCTGAGGTGAGTCAAGCCCGCTGAGGTGAGTCAAGCCCACTGAGGTGAGTCAAGCCCGCTGAGGTGAGTCAAGCCCACTGAGGTGAGTCAAGCCCTCTGAGGTGAGTCAAGCCCACTGAGGTGAGTCAAGCCCTCTGAGGTGAGTCAAGCCCTCTGAGGTGAGTCAAGCCCTCTGAGGTGAGTCAAGCCCTCTGAGGTGAGTCAAGCCCTCTGAGGTGAGTCAAGCCCTCTGAGGTGAGTCAAGCCCTCTGAGGTGAGTCAAGCCCGCTGAGGTGAGTCAAGCCCGCTGAGGTGAGTCAAGCCCGCTGAGGTGAGTCAAGCCCGCTGAGGTGAGTCAAGCCCTCTGAGGTGAGTCAAGCCCGCTGAGGTGAGTCAAGCCCACTGAGGTGAGTCAAGCCCTCTGAGGTGAGTCAAGCCCGCTGAGGTGAGTCAAGCCCACTGAGGTGAGTCAAGCCCGCTGAGGTGAGTCAAGCCCACTGAGGTGAGTCAAGCCCTCTGAGGTGAGTCAAGCCCACTGAGGTGAGTCAAGCCCTCTGAGGTGAGTCAAGCCCTCTGAGGTGAGTCAAGCCCTCTGAGGTGAGTCAAGCCCTCTGAGGTGAGTCAAGCCCTCTGAGGTGAGTCAAGCCCTCTGAGGTGAGTCAAGCCCGCTGAGGTGAGTCAAGCCCACTGAGGTGAGTCAAGCCCTCTGAGGTGAGTCAAGCCCGCTGAGGTGAGTCAAGCCCACTGAGGTGAGTCAAGCCCTCTGAGGTGAGTCAAGCCCACTGAGGTGAGTCAAGCCCTCTGAGGTGAGTCAAGCCCACTGAGGTGAGTCAAGCCCTCTGAGGTGAGTCAAGCCCTCTGAGGTGAGTCAAGCCCTCTGAGGTGAGTCAAGCCCTCTGAGGTGAGTCAAGCCCGCTGAGGTGAGTCAAGCCCGCTGAGGTGAGTCAAGCCCGCTGAGGTGAGTCAAGCCCGCTGAGGTGAGTCAAGCCCGCTGAGGTGAGTCAAGCCCACTGAGGTGAGTCAAGCCCTCTGAGGTGAGTCAAGCCCTCTGAGGTGAGTCAAGCCCTCTGAGGTGAGTCAAGCCCTCTGAGGTGAGTCAAGCCCTCTGAGGTGAGTCAAGCCCGCTGAGGTGAGTCAAGCCCTCTGAGGTGAGTCAAGCCCGCTGAGGTGAGTCAAGCCCGCTGAGGTGAGTCAAGCCCGCTGAGTGAGTCAAGCCCGCTGAGGTGAGTCAAGCCCTCTGAGGTGAGTCAAGCCCGCTGAGGTGAGTCAAGCCCCGCTGAGGTGAGTCAAGCCCGCTGAGGTGAGTCAAGCCCTCTGAGGTGAGTCAAGCCCGCTGAGGTGAGTCAAGCCCACTGAGGTGAGTCAAGCCCTCTGAGGTGAGTCAAGCCCGCTGAGGTGAGTCAAGCCCACTGAGGTGAGTCAAGCCCGCTGAGGTGAGTCAAGCCCACTGAGGTGAGTCAAGCCCTCTGAGGTGAGTCAAGCCCACTGAGGTGAGTCAAGCCCTCTGAGGTGAGTCAAGCCCGCTGAGGTGAGTCAAGCCCACTGAGGTGAGTCAAGCCCTCTGAGGTGAGTCAAGCCCGCTGAGGTGAGTCAAGCCCTCTGAGGTGAGTCAAGCCCTCTGAGGTGAGTCAAGCCCGCTGAGGTGAGTCAAGCCCTCTGAGGTGAGTCAAGCCCGCTGAGGTGAGTCAAGCCCGCTGAGGTGAGTCAAGCCCGCTGAGGTGAGTCAAGCCCGCTGAGGTGAGTCAAGCCCTCTGAGGTGAGTCAAGCCCGCTGAGGTGAGTCAAGCCCACTGAGGTGAGTCAAGCCCTCTGAGGTGAGTCAAGCCCGCTGAGGTGAGTCAAGCCCACTGAGGTGAGTCAAGCCCGCTGAGGTGAGTCAAGCCCGCTGAGGTGAGTCAAGCCCGCTGAGGTGAGTCAAGCCCGCTGAGGTGAGTCAAGCCCACTGAGGTGAGTCAAGCCCTCTGAGGTGAGTCAAGCCCTCTGAGGTGAGTCAAGCCCTCTGAGGTGAGTCAAGCCCGCTGAGGTGAGTCAAGCCCGCTGAGGTGAGTCAAGCCCTCTGAGGTGAGTCAAGCCCTCTGAGGTGAGTCAAGCCCGCTGAGGTGAGTCAAGCCCACTGAGGTGAGTCAAGCCCTCTGAGGTGAGTCAAGCCCACTGAGGTGAGTCAAGCCCTCTGAGGTGAGTCAAGCCCGCTGAGGTGAGTCAAGCCCTCTGAGGTGAGTCAAGCCCGCTGAGGTGAGTCAAGCCCGCTGAGGTGAGTCAAGCCCTCTGAGGTGAGTCAAGCCCGCTGAGGTGAGTCAAGCCCTCTGAGGTGAGTCAAGCCCTCTGAGGTGAGTCAAGCCCGCTGAGGTGAGTCAAGCCCGCTGAGGTGAGTCAAGCCCTCTGAGGTGAGTCAAGCCCTCTGAGGTGAGTCAAGCCCGCTGAGGTGAGTCAAGCCCTCTGAGGTGAGTCAAGCCCGCTGAGGTGAGTCAAGCCCACTGAGGTGAGTCAAGCCCTCTGAGGTGAGTCAAGCCCGCTGAGGTGAGTCAAGCCCACTGAGGTGAGTCAAGCCCGCTGAGGTGAGTCAAGCCCACTGAGGTGAGTCAAGCCCTCTGAGGTGAGTCAAGCCCTCTGAGGTGAGTCAAGCCCTCTGAGGTGAGTCAAGCCCTCTGAGGTGAGTCAAGCCCGCTGAGGTGAGTCAAGCCCTCTGAGGTGAGTCAAGCCCGCTGAGGTGAGTCAAGCCCCGCTGAGGTGAGTCAAGCCCGCTGAGGTGAGTCAAGCCCCACTGAGGTGAGTCAAGCCCTCTGAGGTGAGTCAAGCCCTCTGAGGTGAGTCAAGCCCTCTGAGGTGAGTCAAGCCCTCTGAGGTGAGTCAAGCCCTCTGAGGTGAGTCAAGCCCCGCTGAGGTGAGTCAAGCCCACTGAGGTGAGTCAAGCCCTCTGAGGTGAGTCAAGCCCGCTGAGGTGAGTCAAGCCCACTGAGGTGAGTCAAGCCCGCTGAGGTGAGTCAAGCCCGCTGAGGTGAGTCAAAGCCCGCTGAGGTGAGTCAAGCCCGCTGAGGTGAGTCAAGCCCACTGAGGTGAGTCAAGCCCTC